CATTTTTACACTAATACTCAAGCACAGGTTCTACATCTAAAGCCCTGTACAAAAGTAACACATGGGGCAGTCCCACACAACCACTGTACACAATTAAGGAGGCAGGAATGGAGGAACAGGGAAATGGTCACATCTAGAGTTTCATACGAATCCAATGACAAAAGCCTTACACATGCATAGCTGCATTATGTATTATGTAAATATGCCTAAAATAAGTTATGCAATCAGTAGCCATTTATGACTGTTTGAGAAGCAATTTTTCCTCCTGCCACGTTGGAAACAATCCTTTTTGCTTACTATTGAAACTATGCCTCTGGGAACCTGAAAACATGAGATTAAACCTTTATCTATAAAAAGACAGGCAACAACTCCACTTCCCACATCTCTCTCTCATACTGTGAGCAGACAAATATAGAAGTTACCTGTCATGGCCCACTGACTTCCATGGCCTGTGTTCCTGGTTCAGTAATAACTAATTCACCATTACACCAGAAACACAACCACAATCATAGGCTAGACCTGCAAATATTTATGCATTTACTGAACATAAAGAACATTAAGACACATGTGCCAACATTTAATACGTTAGGCACACATTAAAGCAACTGTAGAGCAAAGATTATAGACCAAATCCCCAAACTTTTACACAAAGAGTAGAAATAGGTCAAAACCCCCCTTTAAATTTCCTTGTCTGTGTAGATCCCATATAACTAAAACCCCATGTTGTTCACATCTGTAAATCAGGATAACCCTATGATGACTATTAATGAACATCCCTATCTACATGACTGCTCAGGCTACAGAGGCTAATGGTTGCCTACAAACTTCAAGGTTTAAGAAGTCAACCAATCTCCAAGCAGGGGGACAAAAGAAAAGCATGGGATAAAAGCAAATGATTGGGCATCATAAATATTCCATCAGAAAAGGCTGCCTGTGACTCAGCCTTCAAGGTTTATAGTTCATGAGCAAGGCATGCTTTATGAGTGCCCAAGAAGCTAACTGAAATGATCAATTCTGTTTGAAAACCACTGAATTAAAATAGATACAGAATAATCTTAACAAAGAGCACAGTTCTTTCCATTTCATTTCCCAGTATTTTAGCATCCTTTCAAAATGATTAGTTATTTGAGCAAGGATTTACAGGATCCGACTGAAGAAAGCCTGCCGTTGCATGCACCAGAAGTTGCTGCACTGCAGGACACAACCGTCCTTTCGGAACAGTCTCATGCTTGGGAGCAATTACAGCTTATTTATTTACCCACCTACCCACCATCCACTGGAATACGAGTATCACAAAGCAGACAATAGCAATCTGGCATCTCAGCTGTCACATACGCTCAAATACAAAGAAATGTTGCGTAAGAAACTTCTGATTGAGTCCCTTCAGAACCGCAAACGGACAAAAGGGGGGGAAAACAAGTCACGGAAAACTACAAACACACACAAGAGCACAAAGCATCGCTAGGAAAGACGATAGGTGAGGTTACAAATAAATAAGAAAGATGATACAGGAGCAAGGATAACATGAGAGGAATTCAATCTGTACCCAAGTTACCTAGGAAACAGAGCGGCTGTGTGGTGAGTGGCTGAGGGAGGAAAAAAATAGCATTGTTTAGAAAAAAACAGCCTTTCAGAGAATCACACCAACTTCCAAAGAGAGCTCCTGAAACAAAGAGGCAGCTCAAATCCCCACCAGGCCCAACCACTGCCGTCGGCAGAGTTTAAACTCAAAGATGCTTAAAGTAGCCACACAGCGCATCTCTGAAGGCAGCGTTTAGGACAGACTGAGCAGCTCACTGGAAATGTGGTTTTGCCCTTGCAATGTTAACACTGACAAAGGCCTCTACAGGCACACAGAACCAGCTACAACTGAGATTTAAAAAAAGGAGAGAAAGTATTTAAAATTTAGATTTGGAAAGTTCAATTTCAGAACCTAATCTTAGAAAAGCCAACCCCAAAATGCTGGGTTACTACTTCACGATAAAACTACCTTTGCTCCCTCCCTCCTTTTACTCTTTAACAGCACCCGCTCTGGGTATGGGATACACAATTTGAGGCCAACGACAACAGAACTCAAACAGATCCTATCTCATCCTTCTCACCCAATTTTCAATGACTCAGACATGCAGTCATGAATGGGTTTAGCCAGATGCCTGGCTGTCATGGTATAAACTGCATGAAAACTGAGCACTAGGAAAGCATGTGAAGGTCATGCAGCTGGAGAAGTCAGAACAATCCCTTCCCAGCTCTTCAAGGAAACCAAGTTCCCTCAAAAGGCTTGTGAAGTTCAGGACAGGTTTGTTTTGCCCACAACAGGCAGGAAGCAGGCAGCTCAGGCCTCTCTTGGAACTCCATGGACACATCCCAGACCCTGCTTAATCTCTGTAAGGCTCCTCTTCATTTCTCTCAAGCTTCTTTTCCCTCGTCTCTAACTCCTCCACCTCTTCAAAAGGCATTTTTGGTGTGATTTTCCTTTTCTGGGGGAAGATTGTTTCAGCTTTATATTGATGTAGGATAGAGGAAAAAAATGGGGAAAGGGAATTTCAGAATCTTAGTATTTCCAGAGGGTGAGAAAACCCAGCTCTTGCAGCTAAGAAAGCATCCTTCCCATTTTGCAGGAGTCTATCATGCAGCCTGTTCTGCACATTATCTCCTCCAACTACTGTTGCTCTCATGCAGGATTTCAGAGGAAAAATGGAAACAGATGGCCTGTGAGCTTTCCAGGGTAACCGACAAGCATTGTGCGGGTCACCAGTCTAAAAAACCACAGCTTGGAAGCCTTTAATCTATCTATTTTAGGTATCGCTATGATGACCACTTCAACAGTACCTTCAAAGCAAAGATCCTATTGTGGGGTGGGAACAAGCAGAACTTCATCTGATGTCTATTTAAAGAACACAAATACTCTCTAATCTGACAAACCCCAATCTCGTCCTTTGAAGCCTCTTCCCAAGCCACCTCACTTGATTCTGGGAAAAACTTCTTAAAAATATCAGGGAGTTTCAAAATAAGCACTGGTTCAGGGATAAATATCAATACTGAAGACTGGAAAGCAGACAGGCCTTCTGTCTTACAACAGGACCGCTGAGTCACTTGTAACTGCAGGCCAGTGGCAGAGTGATCCATAACTTGGTAGAGAACAAGCAATAACTCAGTACCCTAGGGACCCCTGCCTTGGCTGACTGACCCTAAGGCAAATCACCAAAGGAACACAACAAGCAGAAGAGACTTATGCAAAGCCCCCTCTTCCCACCCATAAGTAGTAGCAGAAAGTCCTATAAACCCAAAAATCTGTCTTCTGTGTTTGGAGGTGACGTTTCCAGTTGCACAAGTGAACCTGAGGATGGACAGCCAGTGCCATACATCCATCAGTCACAGCACAGCATCTCTGCAGTTCTGCGTGGTGCACCCGACTGTGGATTTTGGGACAGGGAAGGATTCCATGAGTCATGTCGTGCTGTCACTCCATGCTGCGGTTACTCAAAAGAATGACGCAGTGCGTTTGGACCACATTGGTTCTTGATGAACCCCAGATGTTGTTTTGATTTCCTGAGATCCCAAGTCTGGGCATTAGACAGCCCTTCCTCGGCAGAGGGGCTGTTTGCTCTTCAGAAGTCCCAAAGGTTAGGATGAGCTGGCGCTGGGGCTGGCTCTTTCTGAGGAAATTCCACCCAAGGGGGTTTACTTCACCAGCATGTGGTTTCCCCATGTACAAGGCTGTTCTGGGGACACATGGAGTAACAGAGACTTTGACACAGCCATACACTTAAACTGTCATTTATTCCTATGACTGTAAGGCTCTGCATATAACGACAACTGAAAAGGATGATGAAGGATAACACAAATGTCTCTTCCCAGTTGGCTGCTGCTTAGAAGAGCTTTCTGTTAAGCTGCACTCCTGTACTTTAATAGTGCACTTATGTTTCCATATTGGCTTCTTCAATTCCTATCTTTATACAAAACCGTGTGCAAATTCAATCATCTCCTAAGTCCTATATAAGCCATCATCAGGTTCAGCAGGCTGGAGAGGTATGGAAATGCACACGTTGCTTGGAGAGCTTGGGAAGTTAGTAACAGCATACACTGCTCAGTTTCTTTACTTTGAGCCTAGGCCCTACTCACTGAACAGCGATGCATTCACAAACATACCTATAACCTCTGAGTGGCTTCTAGCCAGACGTTTGCCCATTTTATGGCAGTAACTGACCCTCTCTTATCAACGGGAGGCACAGGTTAAACCAGCACAGCTCTGTCTTGCCTGTTTCAAATGAGCTGCAGTAGAGGGTGGCAGAGTTTGGCCATAAGAATGCTTTGAATCTGGCAGAAATGAAGAGGTAAACCATTTTAATGGCACACTACAGCTGTCAGCAAGGAAACAGCATTGCTGCTGCCCGAGACATGCATCTTTGGGGACCAACAGTGACTTTCAGCATGTGGCAACAGTCCTGCTCAAGTCAGCAGGCAAATAGCAACTCTGCCACGCGTTCTGAGGAGCTGGCAAGGAGCTGGTGCTGGAAACAGAAATAAACCAGCAACATCTCAACATCGAAGTTGCTGCTCCCTCAATAGAAACACAGAGAGCAGGAAAGCCCTGACCTAAGCTACCCAGCAACGCTCGCCGTGTTTCAACTCCCAGCTGCTTCTCCTGGCTCTGAGCTCGGGGGCTGAAAAGGAGCAATTTCAGTGATGCTGCAGTGCCAGGAGGGTAGCAGAGGGATCTTGGACATGAAAGCTGCTCCCAGAAGGGGAAGAGAAGCGAGAGGCAAGAACCACAACAGTTGTGCCAACCCTATCACCAAATGTCTCTTAGAGATATCACCCTTGTCCCCATAACTCAGAGAACAAAACGGTCATCTGGTGACCACACCATCACCCTTCTTTGCGGAGGGACTGTGGGATACAGCGTGGCTAAAGCTTGAAAACACATACATCACATCACAACGATCTACAAACCAAACCTCCACTTTGAAGGGAGAGAACAGAAGAGAGCAGGAACTCACTGGAGATGTCGTTAATCGAAGGATCGCTCCATTTTTTATCTCATTACGATTCTGAAAGAGAAAAAGCCAAAAGGTTTTATTTAAAACTCGCATAAAAAGAACAAACATGCATGGAGACAATGCCACACTAACACAGCAACACTGCTTTCCCCTGGCTGCATGTCTTTCGCATGTGAGCCAACATCCAGTCAGCATCTTTCCCACTGGGGTGCACTAACATCAGCCTCATGAAATAGGTGGCTGCCCATGTGGGTTTTAACAACTGCAAACCCTTCCCAGGATGACTTCATGCTTCTCAAAGTTCAGCTTCCACTGGCAACTCCTAAATATTTCTTTGAAATCCCCCATCCACAGCATCTGCCTCTGGTCTTGCCCTACATAGTTATGGAGTTCTGAGCTGCTGAAACCCATCATTAACCATCTGCAGGATTTAAAGCCTATCCCGCTGGCTCTGCCGTCCCTATAACAACAACGTGCTGACTCAAACCACTGGAACCAGCCCGCCGAGCTCTGCCACCACGGCTCTGCATGCTCCCTCAAAGCTAACAAAGCATCGCTGTCAGCGGTAGGGGAAGCTCAAACACGTCCCAGGTCATTCTCCTTACCCTGCTGGCATTACACATTCTCCTTTGGTTAAGCTCATCGAAAGTGTTCAATTAAACTGAAGCTATGGGTATATGGAAACACTGCCCTGGTGCAGGATTGTCAGTGTCCTCACTGCTTTGTGGTCAATGCCCATGGGCACGCTCTTCTCCTGGGGTAAGCACAGAGGAGCCTGCCCCTCTTCTGACAAGCTGTTCCCGTTCACCACAGGCCAAGAGAACCCAGCACAACGAACACACTAACAGTTCCTGTGCACAATGCACATCTGCAACTTCACCTATGGTTCCATAGCTTGCTTGAGGGCAAAAGAACCTCATTTTCCACAGGAACTGAAGCAATCCCCACCAGGTTGAGAGAGAAGAGAGAATCCTCTTCTGAAGCTCGCATTGCAGGCGTTCTGCAAGCTGGTGCTTAGCCAAAAAGAAAAGGAAGGTGTGTTTCTTCTCAGGCACTTTTTCCCAAATTCATTTCATCTTTTCATCCCAAAGCCCAGGTGCTACAAACCAGATAAATCGCGCCTGAAACCAGGTCAAGCAGTTCCGAAATAGAACCCCGGTACATTGTCTCTTTTTGGTATCCAAGTCGCCCGTGGGATCGGTTGTAGCTACCTCCAAGATCCCTGTCCACCCACAAAGCCTTCCTCGCTCGAACTGAAATAACTCAAGTGTCAGACAGCACCGGGGGCACAACGGGGAAGGGGTTGGACTGGGTCTGTGCATACACCTGCAGCCAGCACACCCCAGCCTCCTCCTGCCATAACAGCCTCAGGAGCCCACCAGGCTGTACTCAGGAGTGGGGCAAAAGAGGATGAGCACCTAAACACAGGGGTACCCCCTCCCAGCACTGACAACGTGCCAGATGTTCTGCTCTGGCAGTGAAACAGCATCAGACCCAGCAGTGTTCCATCACAGAACAGCTGGGGTTGGAAAGGACCGTCAGACCATCCAGTTCCACCCCCCTGCCATGGGCATGTCCAAGGAGCTCGAGGAGCTTTAAGGTCCCTTCCAACCCAAACCAGGCTGGGACTGTGTGAGTGCTGCTCCCTTTTCCTGCCTGCTGCAGCCCCCACTGCCCTGTTTCATAGGTGCTCAGGGCTGAAGCCATGCTCCGCAGGTTGCTCAGTTACAGTGGTTCTGCCACAACTGAAACCCTAACCCATGAAAAGCTGGGCTTAACCTGGTAATGCTCAACAGTGCCATGCACACGGGTCAAAAAGCAGCTGTCCCATTAAATAAGAACACTTAGGGGTTGCATAGATTGAATCTGCAACCAATCAAGTGAAAATATCTTGTTAAAAACACACTATTTCTCCATATTCCTCTGTAGAGGAATTTCAAAGCAAGTAGAAAAAGGGAAGCCCATAACCCAGTTGAAGTTCAGATGCCACATATGGATAAATACGAGAAGTAGTACTTCTCCAGAGTGACCATACCCAACACAGCATGTCACACATAAAACAGCGGAGGAAAAAGAACACTTATCTACTATATATGTATATAAAAGAGTGCATAAAAGCCTTGCTCGAAGTTTTATTTGGGGTCTGTTTATGTATCAAGCTGAGTCTGCAACACCAAAGGTCTCAGCCTCAAAGCCCCTGTGATGCTTGTCAGGGCCTGCAACACATGAAGCCCAAAGAGCTTTCATCACGCCTGGCCCAGGGCAGCGTGCCTGGGTCTGCCCTATGCTCTGTGTACAAGCACAGGGGAGAGGGAGAGCCCATCTTCAACTCCTGGGGTAGCCCAGGGCTCAAGGAAAGGTGCCCGTGCCTGCTCTCCAACCGCATGCCAAGCCCCAAGCCTCTCACACAGCCCTTGCAAAGGGGTCGCTCTTCCCCAGTAAAAAACCCAATTTTGTTTATCCATTCTAAATAATGACTTAAGCACCGACCACCGAACAGCGTGGAAGCTGTCAAGCCAAGGGGATTTCCTACATTAGCCGTGTGATGCAGCAGTTGTCACACCAGTTAATTTCAGTGGCAACGTTTACACGCAGTTCATCTGCTCACTATCAGGGACAGCATCCGTGGATTTCTTTTCCCAGAGAACAGACCATCATCACAGCAGCCCAGCTCTGGCAGTTGTGCTCATGGGCCCCACTGCTACCCAGGGCAGGGCTCGCCACAGCCTATGGGGGGGACACAAGAACAAGACAAACACCAACCAAACCTCTGCCAAGACACTGCTCATCTGTACGTCAGGTTTGTAGCTACTGTGGATCTGTATTAGGAAAGCTTATTCCTGGGCAGTGAGGGAACTAGTGAAACAGCGCTATCCAAAATGCCCCCACAGCCCTCCCTAACAAGCAAACAGACTTGCTATGTGTCACCTAGGACTAACAGAGCAGTTATATTATGGATGCAAATAAGTCCCATTTGCAATGGGATATCTAGCAAGAGTCTCCATCCATCCACACTCACAAGATGGGTTTATTCTCACTGAGTAGGCAGCATTTCCAGGCATCACACTGCTGCACGACACTTTCCAGGCCAGGTTTTCAATCAGACGAGTGCTACCATGAACACACAGGAACAACAAAAGGCAGCATGAAGGAGAGGATACCTGGACAGTTCACCTTGTGTTCATGTTTTAGGGCCCGCTGGCTTCCAGTTGGTGGAGACGGAGAAACATAAACCTACGTTATCTACCATTACATCCTGCTCCTTCTCCAGGTCCTGCCTTTACCATGCCACAGGCTGCTCTGCCCAAAACACATGCAGGAGACTTGCATGGACTTCCACCTAAAAAAGCAGGCCTCAAGCATTAACAGGGTCCTCTAAACCATGCAGAGGGATGCAGGCATTGAATTTGCTTTAAAAATATACTATCAAAACAGTCAAGCCATTCACTCAGAGCCTTGCTGGAGAGATGCTTTGGAAAACTTACCAAGAAAAAGTGAGGTTTATTTTGCCATGCGTTTGTCTTATCGCTTTAATCATCTGTTATACCCAGCAAAATGCCTCAAGATTCCACTCACTGTAACTGGTTGGAATGGAATGTTTTCTTAACATATTTGAGGAAGACCCAGAAGCATTGGTTCCCATGGTTATAGCTCACTCAGCACTGTTCTTTAACCTTGACCATACAGCTTCCTTCAGACTCCTCTAACTAAGCTACAGAGCACCAGCCAGCCAATGCAAAGTGCTTCACATGTTTATATTGCTCAGGAATAGATCCTTGCTTCCATGCTACTATGATTTTATTACAGCTTCCTCCAAACTGACACAACAACAGAAAACCAGAGCTATGGAATACACTGAGCTGGCGACTCCAGAACAGTTTCACACAGATGACTTTGGGCAAGTAGTAACTAAGGACAATGCGATAGATAACAGGGCTCATTCCTAAGTCACCAACTGAGGGAGGAGCAGAAAGACCCTTGCTGGCAGACCTCCCCTCATGCACTGATTCAACGTGCTACCGCAGCCAACACACACTGGGCATCGTCAGAAGCGTCCTGTGAACTAGGCAGAGGACACTGCTTTGCCACGACACCAGAGCTTCGCATGGGGCACTGCACAGCTCTGACCTTCACCTCTCAAGGAGGACACACTCAGGTGAGGGGAAATGCAGAGAAAGGCAGGGGAAAGGCTCACTGTGATTGAGCAGCTCCCTCACCCTCAGTTTGGGGGGACAAAGCCACAGGAGTGAATGGAGCAGACGGAGCTGAGTGCAGAACTGCTGTAACCAAACCTGCACTATGAGAACTAAGGGGTAGCTGATGAGAGCAGTAAGGGACCAGTTTACAGCAGATGAAGAATATCCCTCCTCATTCAGCAGGAGAGAACTTGCTGTCACGACAGGCAGTGAAAGCAGGCAGTATGAGCAGGTTCAAGAAGAGATGGAAGGATTTAATGGCCTTTATATAGCATATTATATGGGCTAAGTGTAGACGTAGGCTCCAACACCTGCAGCACAATGAATGTGAATGCATGTGGAAGCATGAAGGGAGCGAAAGGCACACTTCTGACTGACATCTGCTACTCTTACAGCTGGTGACGGACCCTGAGGTTGGTTAAAACGTTCTGCTGACTTGGTAGGAAATTAAAGTTCATTTTTAGGCCCCGAAACACTTGAATAAGCTGAGAGCTAAGAGCTACAGGTAATTATGGACAGTACACTGCCTGGCATGACGGGGCTGGGCTGGTTCAGAAGATATACCGAGGCAATTAATCTTGTGATGAAACCCCTTTTCTGGGAAGCTGCTGGCAACAGGGTGAATGCCTCCTGGTTTGTCACATTAGAATTGGATGCTAACCTTTTCCTTACAAAATCAAGGGTTCGTAGTTTGGCTTAAGTCTCTAAAAAGAGGGCATTTTCCGCCTGCTGTTTGTCTACCCCTACTCAAGGATTACAGAAGCTAGTAAATAAACCAAGTTACACCAGTGGTATACCCAATCCAGTGCAATTCTACAGCCCACAGGAGGCACAATTCTGCATGTGGGCTCCCAC